AGACACTCTTCTCTCTTTTTTGTCTATAATTTTTACATCCTATGTTATTCCAATATTCTTTTGGTAAAACGTTATTTATTTCAAGATTTCAATGCAAATAGCATGTTTGTGAAGTATAAACACCAAATAGGGACAATGTCAACAAGGTGACAAATAGGCTACCAACTGCATACTGAGGAGTTGTTCGAGAAGAATAGAAAAATGCACTGAAATGGCAAGCTTCCTTTGGTAAATAGTTTTTTTTCCCCTTTTCCACTTGTACATCCAAAAAGCGGCTCAAGAACAAGTGAAGATAGACTGCGAGACAACAAACATTACGACCATTGGATTATGTCCAAATTCAACAACACATCTAATGTAATATGGTCGCATTATATCAACAATACAACAGCTAATTAACACCTTTTTTTCGCTTTCTCCTCATCATCTAGATCTCGTTTCCCTTTGCAAAGAGTTAAATTGAGGAAAATCTCCAAATAGTCATTTTCATCGTCATATGGCGAAACATCACACCACTTGAAATGCTTACAGTCACGGTACAGCAATAGAACATCCATCCTTTGTTTGCACTATTTTTTTCCACCTTCATCACTTCATGAACCCCTCGCCACATTTTGGGCATCTCCTCCGTCTGGAACATTCCGACAACGAGTGACCCAACTGTCTGCAGCTATGGCAAATACTTCTGTTCCTTCCTGCCATTGAGCAAACTCTAGCGTCCAATGCAATTGAACAAGCCCAAAGTCAGAATATCAATTCCATAAAGTAGAGTGCGAGTGCAAATGCAATTGAACAACACCAATTCATAATTACAATAACATTATTCATAATTTACAACTGCATTGTCCAATTTATTCATAACATAAACACTTAGAAATTGCATTTGCTATGTATAGTTCAATCTAATCCTTTTCTACTATGTAAAATTTGACATTTACCAAATGTTATTATGCATATAAATGCAAAGCCTCACTCAGTAAATTTTGATATTTCACAAAAATCGCAAAAAATGACTTCTACAAAATTATCGAATGCCTACGGTTCAATCCACTACAATCAAAAAGCTTATTTTCATGAAAACGGGCTCTTTCGTTCTCTATTGATAACCACTATAAAAGTGAAGAATAATAAAGAAATGTTTACCAGATTTTCAAGGAGCTTTGATCGGATCTATGTTTCGCCATCAATTTGGAGAATTCCAAAGACCGATACCACAATTTGGAGAATTCCACAAACTCACACAACCTGATTAGGAGAATTCCACATACTCGCACCGTAGATTTGGAGAATCTCATACAGCAGCATCGACGCTTTGGAGAATTACAAATGGCAGAGAGAGAAGTAGCGAGAGAGACGATAGTGAGAGATAAATATAAGTAGTTAGGAAATAACGGAGATAGTAGTGAGAGGTAAAATATGAGTGGTTGGGTGGATAATAAATGATGGGAGAGAAAGATAATGGGTCTGACCATTTGACCCCTTTTTTGAAATCAAAATCTCACCACGTGTCAATATTGTAACAAATTCTATCATAATAGATGTACAAAATAGAATTTTTCCCATTTTTTATGGGTATAAATATTAGACTATTAATTTTATTTAAACTTAAAAAAGAAAAATAAATGCAACGAGATCATGTGAATGGCATAATAAAGGGTAGACATGTCAACCTAAATCAACCTACTGGACTCAACACGTGTCGTGCATCAATGGTAGATACCAGCTAAATGCTGAGCCCACCACCAAGGCAACCTTGACCTTCTTTGACTGTGACATATTTTTATGAAAAATTTGATAATGTTTTCCCTGAAACTTGGACTAAACTAACTTGAAAATCAACAAAACCTCATATAGACATTTAAACAAAAAAAATTGAAAACCACCAATTCCACCACAACTAAAACAAAATACAACTAAACTTGACTGAGTACTTCTACTACAAAATATCATGTCTATATGCAAGCATTACATCAATTATAAACCCTTCTACAAAGTGCACATCAAACAAAATATTAGACAAAGTGTTTAATAAGCATGAGTCCTCCAACTATACATTACATATTATGATACATTTAAGATCATGTATAAATGACGGGTAACTACACTCGACTTTAGCAGGCTTTCCCAAGTATCTCAAATTTAGCAGTCTCCTGATGGAAAAAACATGATAAAATATATGAGCTTGTAACTCTGTGATTGGATAGTTTGCAAATAAGTATACTTTTCCCGTTTATGCATTTATTCCAAAAAATTTTGCATTACTAAAACTTCTAAAAATTCTGAAATTTGGTAACACTTTTAAAACCAAATATGAATGTATCATAAAATTCTTTATTTTTCATTCTAGATAAGCAACTGTAAGTTATAATAAATATAAATAATCTGTTAACAATAAATATAAGTGAAAATATCCTTTCACAATACTATAAACTGAAAATAAACTGTATAATACTGAAAATCTCACCAAAAAAGTACCCAACGAATAGCCTTACTCATGTACAAAGTAATCTCGACGTACAAGGCAAAGTCATTTACATCTAATAATCTGGTCATACGTACACAGAGCTGCCCCAAAGGATAATCACCCTAGTACACGACTCAAAGCCTATGTGTGTACAAGAGTAGGTCCCAAAGACCTCTGATAATCTAGTCATACAATATGGAAATACATTCGCAATAGTGCAAAGCGAGTAAAATAACCATAATTAGTCATACACGATGGAAACACGTTTGCACCGGTGCAGACTAGGGTAAAATCACCTTGTACTTTCTGGTGGTTTAATATTCATATAACATGCTAATTAAATGATTCAATTTAACTGAATTTAACTTTAAAAATAACTTATTATAAATCCACTTTATTCTAAAAATCATGTTGTCAAATCAACTGTATGAAATAATGAATTTTCTAATCTAACATAAATTTAATAAATATTAATTTCTAAAAAATAAATTTTATATCCACTCACAAAGTACGAGCTACAAGCTAGACTGCCTGAGAAACATTTCCAATCTCCTCGTCACCTGAAATACGATATTAATAACCAATTTAACTACTATCAAATCAAGAAACCTTTAATATCTAACGTTATAATACATAAACTAAATCTCTCAATACTTGAATAAATTCCCAAATTTTTCCATTAATCAATTGGAGTTGATTCCTCCAATTCTCCCAATTAATCTTCATCCAAGGCATAAAAATAATTTATCCCTTCCAATCTAGTGAAAACTAGCAATCACGCTTCAACAAATTTAATATATATCTAGCTCCATAAAATCCTTCTTTCAAGTGAATAATTTCATCACATGATCATTTCCACAATTAATCTTTACTCAATTATCCAATTTAAAAAACTAGGTTTTGCTAGCAATAGGTGTTTCTTACCTTGGCACAAAAAAAATCTTTCAAAAATCAAAAAATTGGCTTGGAATCATGCTCATTCCTTCAATTTGAAAATTAACCCATAATTCCTTAGAACCCTAAAAAAAATTACCATAACTATACCATAAAATCTTAACCTTTACCTCTTAAAGAACTGAAGAAACAAGCTTGAAGTAGTTGGCATAAGATTTCTTCCTTCTTCTTCCCTTTTCTTCTTTTTGTCCTTTGATTTGAGAGAGAAAAGGGGGTCAAAGGTTGTACTATAAAGGCCCACATACTCCATATTGCAAGGAAAGTCCCTCTTCTTGAATATAATATAAAATTAAATCCTAAACTTCCAAAAATATATAAGTAAATCTCAAAATTTTATTTTGTTCAACTTAAAACCTTCAAAATATTTTTCACAATAAATCTAGTCCCAATTAAAATAATATATTTCATTTCAGTCCTTTTTTACTTTGACTTAGACAATTCAACATTTGATTTTTTACTAGAAAAATTTGGGTTGTAACAATCTTACCTCTTTAAAAGAACTTCGTCCTCGAAATTCAACTGGCAACTGACTAGGCAATGAATAAATGAGAATATTGAGCATGCATTTGATCGTCGTTCTCCCATGTAGTCTTTTCTACTCTCTGATTCTACCAAAGTACCTTAACAAGTGAGACTATCTTGTTTCATTGAATCTGCACCTTTTTGTCTAAAATTCTCACTGGTTCTTCTATATAAGTCAAATTCTCCTTCAACTGAATTGACTGAGACTCCAAAACATATATGCAATGTACTTGCGAAGCATAGGGACATGAAAAACATCATGGATTCTGGATAATTCAGTTGGCAAATCTAATCAATATACGACTGGACCAATCCGCTTAGTAATCTCATAGGGTCCAATATATCGTGGACTCAACTTTCCTCGCTAACCAAACCTCAACACCCCTTTCCAAGGAGACAATTTAAGAAAAGCTTTATCTCCAATTACAAATTCAAGATCTTTCCTGCACCTATCAGCATAACTTTTTTTCTATCATGAGCTACTTTCAACTTTTCTTTGATCAATTTCACATTTTCGGATGTCATTTGAACCAATTCAGAGCCTACTGGCATCCTCTTACCAACTTCATCCCAACAAATTGGTGTCCTGCACTTTCAAGTTTCGACCATATAAATACAGAACTTCAAAAGGAGCCATTTTTATACTGGAGTGGTAGCTGTTATTTTAAACAAACTCCATCGATGACAAATGAGTATCCCAGCTCCCTTTGAGCTCTAAAATACAAGCCCTCTACATATCCTCAAGAGTCTGTATAGTCCTCTCCGACTAATCATCTGTCTGAGGATGAAAAACTGAACTGAAATGTAGTTTAGTACCCATGGTTTCCTGCAAACTGGGCCAAAATTTAGATGTAAAACGATGGTCTCTATCAGATATAATAGCTAATGGACTACCATATGAGCTCACTATCTCATCCACATATAACTTTGCCAACTTATACGTGGCTTTGATCGGCAAGAACCTAGTAGTTTTGGTCAAATGATCTACAATAACCCAAACTCCATCATGACCATTTTGAGTACGATGAAGACCAAATAAAAAGTCCATAATAATGTGCTCTCATTTCCATTCTAGAATAGGCAATGGCTGTAAAAGTTCTGCTGTTTTCTGATGAACTGGCTTTACCTGCTGACATATAGGACATTTAGATACAAAACCTGTTATCTCTCTCTTCATGCCATTCCACCAATAATGACTTTTCAAAGTGTGATACATTTTAATACTACCTGGATGCATAGCATAAGCAGAACTATGTGCCTCTTCTAAAATTTCCTTCTTCAATTCTGAAATATCTGGAACACATAATCTATTACTTATCACCAATGCACCATCATTTCTAATAACAAAATCTGTTCTTAACCCGGCACTAACTTCTACTTTCAAAGATTTTAATGTTGGGTCTTCGATTTGAGATTCTATAACCTTATCAATTAAAGTAGGCCTCACCTGGAAATGAGCTAATACTGCACCTGAAGTAGTAGCTGACAATTGAGCTTGCAATTTCTTGAATTCACAAATCAAAGAAGCATATACTGCACTAGATGGAGAGGAAGGACTAGCCTTTCTACTAAGAGCATCTGCAACTACATTAGCTTTCCCTGGATGGTAGTCATTCTTATAATCATAATCCTTTATCAACTCCAACCATCTTCTCTGTCTCAAATTCAATTTCTTATGATAAAAAAATATACTTCAAACTTTTGTGATCAGTAAATATTTGACATTTTTCACCATAAAAATAATGTCTCCAAATCCTAAATGCCAACACTACTGTAGCTAACTCCAAATCATGTGTTGGGTATTTAACTCATGCTTCTTCAACTGTCTTGAAGCATAAGCTATAATTTTCCCATTTTGCATTAGAGCACAACCTAATCCATGGTGTGAAGCGTCACTATAAATTACAAACTCTTTACCTGAAAATGGAAGAGTAAGTATAAGAGCAGAAGCTAATCTTTTCTTCAACTCCTGAAAACTCTTTTCACAATCTTCAGTCCACATAAATTTGGAGTTCTTTCGGGTCAAATTACTCAAAGAAAGAGCAATTTTGGAGAAATTCTCTACAAACTGACGATAATAACATGCTAGCTCAAGCAAACTCAGTACTTCTGTAATATTAGCAAGGCGTTCCCATCTCATTACTGTCTTAATCTTCTGAGGGTCTGCGTAAATACCTTCTGCTGAGATAACATGACTTAGAAATACAACTTTATCCAACTGAAATTCACATTTGCTAAATTTAGCATACAACTGCTTATCTCGCAAAGTCTACAAGATAATCAGCAAATGCTCAGCATGCTCATCACGACTATGAGAATAAACAAATATATCATCAATAAAAACAATCACAAATTTGTCTAGATATGGGTTAAGCACCCTATTCATGAAGTCCATAAATGCAATCGGGGCATTAGTTCATCCAAATGGCATCACCAAAAATTCATAATGACCATATCGAGATTCAAAAGTAGTCTTTGGTACATCAACATCTCTAATTCTGAGCTGATTATACCTCGACTGTAAATCAATCTTTGAAAATACTAAGGCACCTCGAAGTTGATCAAACAAATCGTCAATGCTGGGTAGAGGATACTTATTGTGAATAGTCATCTTATTCAACTGTCTATAATCAATACATAATCTCATAGTGCCATCTTTCTTCTCTACAAATTAAAAAGTGCCCCCCATGGAGATACTGGGTCTATTGAAACCCTTATCAACCAAATCTTGTAATTGTCAAACCTTTAATTCCTTCAACTCTTTCGGAGCCATTCGATAAAGTGCCTAAGAAATAGGTGCTGTCCCGAGGATCAAAGCAATATAGAATTCGATCTCTCTGTCTAGGGGTAATCCCGAAAAGTCTTCAAGAAAGACATCATGGGAAATCTCGCACAACTGATATATCGTCAATTGCCCGCTTAGAGATCCGAGTATCAATTACATGAGCCAAATATGCATGACAACCTTTTTTGAGCATTCTCCGGGCGCCTAGGACTGATATCACACAAGATGGCAAAATTCTGCGCTCTCCAGTGAGAACAATTTCAAGCTCTCCTAGACTTCTAAATATCACTTCCTTGCGAAAACAAACTGAAGCATGGTGTAATGCCCCAAATTCTCGAAACCTGAAGCATTAAAAATAATCATTTCTTTCTTTGGTTTGACCCGTTTGATGTTAGCCAAAGTATTTTGTACATTAGAAAGTTTTTTGGTTTTTGAAACACATAAAAATATAATAGGAGATAGTTATTCATTTAAATTTAGGCAATTATGGCAAAATTTGATTTTGGAAAACATATGGAGGCAATTTAACAATTAGGGAATTAACATCGGAAGAAAAATATATTTCGCCTAACAAATGTCTATTTAAAATTATGAAATTTTTACAAGGACTAAAGCATTCATATATGTACCCTAGGGCTGGGCAAATCTCCCGAACCGAACCGACCGAACCGAACCCGACGGTTCTTGTCAAATTAAATACCCGAACGGGTATCTGAATTGGCGATAACGTTTGAAGTACGAAAATATTGCTCAAATATGCTGGATAGAAAACTCGGATTCGGCACGATGCAGTTTACTAAAACAGGCATAACTTTTTTTTTTAATGATATTTTTGAGAAATTCCAAATGCCACTATTAGAAAGCTCATAGACCCTTTCAAACCTCACTTATTGCATTTCAAAACATGCATTATAACCCAATTTATACCATTTTCAAATAGGATGACAGAATCTGAAATTTTAACCCAGCATAAATTAAACTTCATTCATAGTCAATACAATACTTCTGAATTCTAGTTAACATGTATTATCTATAAAATTAGACAAAATAAACATTAAAAACATTTCTAAAAAGTGTCATCTAAGTATCCATAAATTATGTGCATAAATGAAAATTTCTACTAGAAATTAAAAGCATTTCAGATCGCCGAACACTTGCCACTATGCCCACCACTGTCATGCCTCGATCTTAACCTGTAAAATTGTTTGTAGGGATGAGTACTATAAATAATACTCAGTAGGAAGCACTTAAGTAAATAGTAAAAATATATATATATTTATTTAGAAATGCAAACATTGTTCGATTGTGTCACTCTCAATTTTAAGCGAATTGATGATTAATCAGTCCGCTTACTTGTAGGTTCTGATAATCTCATTTCATTTATCATAATCATCGATTCATATCTCGTGTAAACCATCAAACGGTGATTCCATCATGAGTAACACAATAACAAGTTTAACGCAAACGCAAACATATAAATCTTACATCACTTACAAAAGCGCTGAAACACTTCTACCTTAATGTTTAGAGTTCGAATACTCTTTTTGCGTTCAATAAGAAATAAAATGCAGCATATTTCTATGCGTCTTCTTTAGAGAAAAAAAATTCAAATTCAAATTCAAGGTGTCTTAGTCTATGAAGAAAGGGCAAAATAATTTTATATATATGCATAATAGTTTAGGAGAAAAATGTGGGTATAGAGGTTGTAGGAGATTTTCTTTTTTCTGTTTTTCAAACACCAAAGAATTACAACGATTAGTAGCAACCAAAATGGAATTAATAACTATGGTACTAGAATATGAATGATTTGTATAAATAGACTTTTTAGGTTGCATTTTCACATAAGATGGAAGTGAAAAACGTGCAGTTATGAAAAAGGGCAACAGTTTCTTTTAACATAATGGGTGTTAAATATTTGGGATGGTTATCGTTTTAAAAATTTCAAATGGAAGTGGTGGTTAGCAATGAATTAAAAATGGAAGTTAAAAATGAAAAAGTAAATGGGATGGTTAAAATCGGAGGTTATAATTGGAGGTTATCTCTTTCTTTAATTCTCGAGGAAGTGGCCGTGAATTGCATTTAAAATGGAGTAGCAAAATTTGATTTTTAAGAGGTGGTTACAATGAATTAAAATGGAAGTCTTACAGGACGATGTAAGTGGGTTTGTTAAGACTTTGAAGTGGGAGTCTTCAAGTGGTTGCAAAGGACGTGCCATTCAAATTCCAATTCAATGGCAGTTTTTTTTTTTTTTTTTTTTTATCACATATATTTTGGTGGTTAAGATGGAAATTAATATAGAAAGTGGGGTAGTTAATAAATTTCATGGATGGAAAATTTGTAAGAAGAAATCAGGATAATTGAATTAAATTTGAGTGTAACAAGCGTATCAAATCTTAATATTTAATGTAGCAATTAATATAAAATGTGTCGTCGAAATAATGTAACAGCATAAAATTTTGTCGTCTAAATGAGATTTTGACACCTTACAAAATTTTTAAAAACAAGTATGCGAAACTTTACTATCATGACCAAAACTTTAATTTGAACTCTTAAGAAAATGTCGTAGCAATGTAATAATATAACCCAAATTATATTTGAGTTCTATAATTTTATTTTGAAATTAAAAAAAAAAATCTTTTTCTCGATCGCTACACACGGTGATTAGATAGAGTGTCCATCCCTAAAATAACATCAAAATCATGAAGGTCAAGTGGAATTAGATCTGCTTTCAACTCATGATTGTTCACTCTAATCCCACAATCTTTATATATAAAATTAGCTAAAAGTGAGCCCCTTACTGGAGTCGTTACTACCAATTCACTATCTAAAGGCTCTGACATTTGATCAGCATAGCTAGCAAGTGCATGAGAAATAAAGGAATGTGTAGCACCCGAATCAAATAAAGAACGAGCATTTCTACCAAAAATAGATAGCATATCCACTAGTGACTCCTTTACCTCATGTTGGGTCATAGCAAGCACTTTGCCTTAAGTTTTGGATCGACCTGCCTGGGCTCCCTGTCTAAAAGCACTATCCCTAGCAACATTAGATTGTGTGACCCTCGTCGACCCTTCTGATGTAGCTCTTTGATCCCTATTCTGTCTGGCCATATCGATCCCTGGCCGAGAATATACTATCTGAGATGATCCAATCTGCTGAGAACGGATTGGACAATCTTTCCTTACGTGTCCCATCTGACCACACTTGTAACAAACTCCAATTCCTTAAAGACGCTCGTCTGGATGAAACTTCCCACAAGATTGGCACTGTGGAAAGCCCCGGTGATAAGAAACCTCACTCTGCCTTGCTCCTTGAACTCTCTATGTAGAACCCAGAACATAAGAATGGCTCCCCACCGATTGCTGTACATAATTCTGACTATGTCTTGATCCCTTGTCTCGATCCCTGACTAGACCTAGAACTCGCGGACCTAGGTTTAAAACTGCCAGATTTAGTAACACCTGTTCAAAATCCTTCTCTATTCTTCTTGAACCTTTTTCCTGAAGTTCCTATTTGACTACTACCACCTCAAAAGGTCACCTGTGCTCCTTGATTACTTCCTTCTCGAATAGATGTCTCAACCCTCAACGTCGCCTCAACCAACATACCGAAATTTTGATGCCCATGAGCAATAACCATAGGCCAGATCTCTACTCTCAACCCTTGCTCGAACCGTCTACACCTATCTCTCTCCTCAGCAACCAAAGCACTTGCATACTTAGACAGTTCTACAAACTTTACATGATATTCAGCAACCGACATAGACCCCTGAACCAATCTTAAAAATTCATTTTGTTTTGCATCAAGATAAAATGGAGGATAGTATGTTTCATAAAAAGCTTCCTTGAAAATGGTCCAGGTCATAATACTAGGATCTGGATACCGACTTTGAAACGAAATCCACCAGTCAGCAACTTTTCCCTTCAATAAAAATACAGCAATGCGTAATTTTTTATTCTCTGAGCATTCTATCACATCAAATATACTTTCCAAAGTCTTCATCCAAAGTTCAGCATCAACTGGATTAGACATACCCATAAAAAATTTTGCCCCGAGTTTCATCGCCCTCTCAATAGAGTTATCTCTATCGATATTGAGTACAAGGGAAGCAATAGCTGCAACTATTCTATCGGTGACAGGGTCATGTAGCACCTAAGACTGGTGAGCTGATTCTGCGGCCCACTGGCCCCTCCAACATGTCCTCCTTCAGGAGCATCATGAGCTTGAGATACTAGATTTTGATGTTTGCGAGTTCTGCCCCTATCACATATGACTCACCTATAATAATGTATGATATATAAACATTAGATACATGCAGTATTACCCATAAACTCGAAGACCATGCTCTGATACCAATTGACATGACCTATCCCGAATCAACCTAATAAACTCGACACATATTGTACGTCGATGGTAAATACCAACAAAATGCCGAACCCACTATCAAGGCAACCTTGGCTTACTTTAACTTTATCAAAATTTTTATAAAAATATGTCACAGTAAAAGGTCAAGATTGCCTTGGTGATGGGTACAGCATTTATTAGGTATCTACCATCGACTCACGATACGTATCAAGTCCATTAGGTTGATTCGGGACAGATCGTGTCAAAAAGAATACGTGTGGAGAAACATGGGCACACTATTTGACTAAAGAAACCATTGAAAAATCAATAGCAATAGAACATCATTGACATGATTATCACTATCCCATATATTAAAACAAAAAATTGAAGAAAAAGGAAAGAAAAATGGAGTAAGAATATAGTCTTTGATCTCTATTAAAAAAATTCATTATTTGTCTAAACATAAACACATGTAGCATGATACATCAGAATATACAAGTTTTGACTCCACCATCATTTCTTGGTTTGAGTCTTGACAAATAATACAAAGCTCCTAACTTAGCTCAATTAAATATTCTGGTATGCAACATCAAAGATCCGTTGCTCTATTTTATATACATATTCTTCAACAACCCTTATCAATATCAATTTCTTCAATTTTAAGAATATCAATATACTTGTTCTACAAAATTAAAATATTGTCTTTTCGGCTAGTCTCAAGCACAAATCGAACAATATTTCATATACCAGTTCCATTAGATACTCTAACGCTCAAATTTCTCTATGCTCTTTTGCTCAACTTTCTTAACAAATCCTTCAGCAATCCATAGCAATATTAATTTCCATGAACTTAAGAAAGTCAATACACGGTTCCTACAAAAGTAAAATAATCATAATCAACTTTAGAATAAATAATGCGATTGAGATATAATTTGAATTATAATAATGAGTCAAGACTAGTTCTCCACAAAATCTTTGAGTGTACATATACATTCAAACACCTCAAACAATGTGGAATCACACTCCAATTTGTGCAATGTATCCACACAAAACTACATTACCAAATCAACAACTTTAGCCCCCAGAGGAAATCATTTCCCATAATGTAACTACAGGTTATGAAATCTAAACAAAGAAATTTTTGGATCTATCATCCATATTTGTTTATAACTAAAACACAGCTCATTCTAGAAATTAAGAGGTGAAGCAATGATTTTACAAAAAACAATTAATGTCATAGTCAGGAATTCTACCAATGACATTTGCCAGAACCAATTTCAAAAGAACAACAAATAAATATTCTACTAATTTATTAAAAGAATTTTATAAATTTGTATACATGGGACCCATACCTTGTAAGTAGAGTAACTAAGATATAATTTTTCCTATGCCTCCCATGCCAAGATCACGATTTCTTCCAGCAATATCATTTTTTGCAACTCCAACTTTCATAACAGTTTCCATATGGAGCACAACTTGATTTATCTCTACACAAAACTTTCCTTCCAAAATTAGTAAATCGCCAAGCCTCTTGAAAACGAAGAACTCTAGTACCATTTTCTTCTGGCAAAGACAAAAATGGAACAAAATTAGACCTGAATCTGATTTCTCTTTCTAAGTCGTCAAAACATTTTCATTAAGATCGACTGTAACGGGTTGTGAGGTTATACTCATTTCATTAACAGTAAAACTAATAAAATCAACTTATTAATTGAGTCCGATTTTCTTTGACTTGACCAAACAGGTTTCAATTGGGAATTTCAGTTTCTTCAAATTAAGGATGCTCCAAGCTATATTTATCCCGGAAAAAAAAAATGAAAACGACAACATATCACATATGAATATAAATCAAAATTTCTCTCCTTTATTCACTAATACAAAAAAAATTCTTACCAGATCCCTAATAAGGAAGTTGAACACAATTATAGAAACTAAATTTGTATAGATCATCAATAGATGCATAAATGGATACCTAATCGTTGGATTTGAAGAGAAAAATTGAAGCGTTAGACCGGTGGCAGCTTTGAAGATAGCTTAGAGCTTCAGGAGAGAGAAGTGGTCTCTTTTTCTTCTTCAGATTTAGGGTTTCGTTCTCATTATAGCGTTTTTTATAAGCAGTTCCCTTAGTAAAGGGGAAGCATGACGCGCTAATTACGTGGAATCTTCTTATAGGTAAGTAATTGTTTTGAGCTCATTTTTTCATCAATATACTTTTTTTTATCCTTATTTTTTCATCAAGATACATTCTTTAATAGTGTTTTTATTTCACTTCAATCACACATTCTCTAATAAAATAATATTACGTGTAAATCTATGATTTTTCTTTATCTTTTAACCATATGTTTTCGAACAATGCATTATTTAAAAATGTATTTTTTGACAAGAATATGAGCTTAAACAAGGTCTAAATAAGTTATTTTGAGATAATTATAGCAGAAGTCCATACTCTTTACAAAAAGTGCAAATCGATCCCAAACTCCATTAGTAGCAGTAGCATATCGATACTTATTAATAAATTCCATACAAAGTACAAACTAAGTCTATAATAATAAAGCTTTCACTGTCTTTTTAGCCACGAAGAACTCAAAACTGCTTGAACCCCAGGGCACATCCCAACTGGCCTCTATGAGGACGCTTCAAGGCTGGCAGATTAGAGGTCGTGAATTCGATTCCTGAAAGGCTCTTGGAAGGCAGATATTCTCCTAGAAGGCAGGATTTATTTTGGAAGGCAGGAGCTCTACTGGAAAGCAATGTGCAAAGATGAAAAAACGACTTGCTTGACACTTTGGCAAATCAGTTGAGGGGCTATTGAGCACTGGTCAATTTGGGGCACACATGCGTTTTAACTTGTCTGCAATTTGAGGGGCCAAGGTATAGACTCCAGAATTTAGTTACTGTAAGGTGGATACCTAGATATCAAAAAAAAAAAAAAAAAGAACTCAAAACTGCGGACATTGCATTTGGGTTGGAGTGATGGAAATTAATCATTAACAATAACTAATAAATGAATGTTTGAGAAATTGAATACGTATAATTATTGTTAATTAAAGAATAATTCTCGCTCGCTTGAACGACTTTTTATCAAACACACATTTAACATTTTCATAAAATCGTAAGACCATATATATGGATAGAAACCTATCCAATGCCTAAAGGTCAAGAAAGTTGGTGGCCTATTGACAGAAATGCCATCGATCGAAACTCCGATGAACCATGAGCATAAAATATAACGGTCATAAGGTAGCGAAATTTCTTGTCGAATAAGTTTTGACCCGCAGTCGACATATAAATTTTCAATCAATAATTTTTGTATCCAAAGATGGGATGGGATGAATAGACAGATGTAGTGCTTGAGGAGTAAATTTTATTGTAACTTCTTAATTAAAAGTAAGGGCTTAAGCGTACTTTCAAACAAAAAATTACATCATTCGCTAGTCACATACCTATTTACTATTAATTTGGATAGATCCGTCCTTTGAGAATTGCTCAGCCTAATTATGCTATTCATCTTCAAACAATTGTTAAGAATGATAGTGTCAAGGTTTGAAAGTCAGAGACTTACACTTTTTACAAATGTTAGGGTTCCTTTTGAAAATTTCTTAATTGTATATTGTTTTTGTTTCTTCTCTTCTTTGACAAGCTTAAAATAACCATGTCGTGCCATATTAACCTTGTTTACCTAATAATGCTATTCATCTTAAAACGATACATATGGACGAATTCCTTGCAAATTGATAACCTATATGCATAAAGTTTCCGCAATCTTTCTAGCCACAAATAACATTGATATGCAAACATTGCATTTCGAGTTTAGTGATGGAATTATTTATTGAAAATAAATATTAAGTAGATGAATCCGTAAGAAAGTGAATATGTATAATTATTATGAATAGGAAAAAAAAATTCCTAGCAGTCTACTCAAGGTCGGACCCAAATAGTTCAAACTGTGGGGTCAAAAAAAAATTTCGAACAACGTATCATGAACAAAAAGGAAAAATCGATTGTTTGCTGTTTATGTTCGGTGTTTGCACTTTGGGAAGAAAATCGGTGAATTATATGATATATCTATGAACTAAGCCCCCGTTTGATCCTCATTAAATTACATTCCATTACATTTTATTTTTCAATCACACAATCTTTCATAAAATAATATTACACGTAAATCAAAAAAAATTCATTCTTTTTCAACCACTCAGTTTTTCAACAAAACACTATTCCCTCCATTTTCATTACCAAAAATGGGGGTCAAACAGGGGCTAAATAATGGATATGGACCATGTGATATGGATATAGATTTAGGATTTAGACTTTTTGGGGCAGAAAATTAAATTTTCAGCCAAAAAAAATGGTGAGGTCATTTGACCCCATGTGGATCCGCCCCTGAGTCTACTTTAGCTTAAAATGATAACTTTTGGATTCGGAGGTGGGGATTTGTATTTGCTAGCCGATATATAGACATGGTGCCATACGAAAGAAGATTGTTTTTTATTTACAATTTCTTAATTAAAATTGATGGCATATGCGTGCTTTTAACAAAAAAGTCTACATCAAACACTAGTCAACTACTTATTTACAATTGAATTTGGACGAATTCCATCCATTGAGACTTGTCCAGCTACGTGTATGAAAGCTTAAGGATGGTACTGTCAAGATTTAAAGGTTATATACATTTAAGCTTTTCGCACATATTAGGATCCTTCTGCGATTTTCCCAATAGTTTATTACTTTTGTTTCTCTCTTTATTTTTTCTCTATTTGCCGATAACCTTGTTTGCCTAACCTGTTTGGTTTGGATTGAAATTATATTAAAAAAATAAAATCAACAATTAATTTTAATCATACATTTCATCAATTTTTTTTCTAAATTTATGAAAAATCTGATTTTGATTTACATCACATGAGCCTAGCAAGAAGTTAATGAAACTAATGAAATAGATATATTAACATCAATTACCAATATACATAAAGTAAAAACTTCAAAAGACTTTTTTACCTTTAAAACTGGCAAGGTAAATCTTGCAGTTCCTCTTTTCAAGGCCGGTCCTGAGGCGAGGCCAATGAAACTTGCGCCTCAAGCCCAAGACCATAGGGGGCCTCATTTTGGCCCCCCTTTTTTTTTTGTTCAAACACAAGCCCAGCCGACCCAAAACCAATTATCCAACAACCTTCACAACAACCCACAATCCATTTACCCAACCCAACTTATATATCCAATATCGACAATCCAATGATCCATTACCCAAAATCTTAAATTCAGTCCAACCGTCCAAGGCCTGCTCTGCTGCTCGTCGTCGAACTTCAAAGTCGCATCTTCAATCATGAGTCTGATCACTCCACGTCTCCACCAATCTACCTCCGCAAGTCCACTGCCGGCCGATCCACGCCTCCACCTCTACTGAGGTTAGCAACTTTATTAGATTGAGAATTTTAGGGCAAAATAAATTAGATAATCAAGGATTGGATTGTCCTACATTTGTGATTTGTTATATACTTATTTAATATAGGAAAGTTACCGATTGAGTTTTCTTTAATGTTTCCCGTTTTTGTTTTATGCCTATTTTTGAAGTTTGAATTAGAGATCATTTTTTTAAAATTTATTTGGTTGTGCTTACAGTTTACTCACAACCAATGGAGGTCAAGAGTTGTTTAATCTTGTCATCTTGATTCATGCTCTGAAGAGAAAAGAGTACAATATTTCTGATTATGTTTCTTTTAACAGTTAGAAGGTGTTTTTGTGAATGATTCAATTGCACTTAAAATTTGAGAAAGTTAAATGTTTCTCTCTCAATGTTAGGATGACTGGATGAGTTCAGTGTTCAGAAAGCCAATAATATCTTGTAATATCTTTGACTACTATAGTACTAATGCGTCAATTCTCTAATTAATATGTCCAGGAAATATTTATTTTCTCAAATTGCTTTGAATCGTGGAGTTTTGCTTGTTTTATTGTGTGAATTGTAGCTGCATGATTATTTTGATTATTTTTATATATACTATTAAGTCAAAGAGTGTAATATGCTTGGGAAGATGTACATTCTAGGATGGTTTTCTTAAAGTGTAATAGTTGAATCTATCTTTTTTTATAATGAAGAATCATATTGGACGTTGATTATGTATTTGTAAATTCAGGGGCCGAAAACTTCTGCAGTCACTAATGATTCATTTTTTGAGCTCAAATTTCCATTGATAAAATTCAAGAACAACTAGGTATTCAGACTATCTTTCCTATGGAGTATGGACTCTATATTTCTTTTATGCCCTGTTTGATTACAACATTTCCATGGAAAATGTCACATCCAAGGAAATTAATTTTCACTTTGACTGTTTGATTCGCACGTGGAAATAGAATTCGAATTCTTATGTACAACTATTTAAAGCACGTTTTTGGCCAACTCCATGGAAAACGAATTCTTATGGGTATGGTAGTTTTTTGTTTTCCAACTTAGGTGGAATTCCTTTTCATTTTCTTCCTTCGCAATCAAACGGGGCCTTTGTATATTTACATAAACAATTATGCAGTCGTTTCATGTAATGCATACCAAATGCAAACTTGGATTTCTGTTCAATTCAAAAGGCTTTATTTATCATTTCATTTGCTACAATATTCAAATTACAAATATGAAATGTGTTCCCTGCATTTCTAACAGGAAGTTATTTTTATCCACTATTACATCCAGCCTACAAGAGATATTTTGTGACGGTAGAATTCTCAAGGGTGTAATTTCACAATTTTCGTCGAATTTCCACTTATCAAATAAGTAACAGTTTGCCCTAACTTATTATTGAAGAGATTGAAAATATTTGAAGCCTTGTCGGCTTATATAATTGCAGTTCGGTCTTAAGTAATTGTCTGAAACATTGTTGGTTTTGTTAGTTTATAATATAAATATTTTCTATAATATATGTGGTTGTTGTTTTAATGTTAGATTTTGAAATTAGCAATGGGTCGCATACATTGTAGAATTTTGCATTTTTGTTGATTTCATCGAGGGCCTAATCTATGGACTTTTCTTTAGGCCCCAACAATCACAGGACAGGCCCAGCCTCTTTCAATGACCTTTCATTCCATAAATGATAGCACGAGTCATCAGATTTAGTATTGT